TTTTTTTTTTTTTTTTGGTAAAACCAGGGATTGAACTCAGGCTCTTACACTTGCCAGGGAAACATTTATTCTACTGAGCTGTCTCCCCAGCCTGGTTGTGGGTGTTTTTTCGTTGCTTGTTTTTTTGAGACAGTGTTCTACTATGTAGTCCAGGCTAGCCTTGAACTCACTATGTATCCCAGGCTCACCATAGAAAAAGAAATTCTTAGTAGAGACTAGAGGGTTTTTTTGAAACAACTTTTTTTTTTTAATCTCCTAGTAAATTCAGAGCTCTTTCTTGGTTTATTTGCCAAACCTAATAGCCCCTAAAGCAAATATAAATTTAGGTAAAAGATCTAAAGGATAATATGTTGTTGTGGAAGACAAAAGTTTATCTTAGCTAGGAATTACTAAATCATGTTATTTCTTCAGTCTCTTATTAATGTTTATCCCAATCAGGGTTTCTCTTTTTCTTCAGCTCTAAGCTCCTAGATCTTTTTTCTGCATTCACTTCAGATTGTAATCCTAATTCCACAGTCCGCAGCAACAAGAACTTTTTACTGGCTCTCTGCACACATTTTTTATGGTTGGTTGGTTGTTTGTTTTGGTGGTACCAGGGATTGAACTCAGGACCTTGTGCTTGCCAGGCAAGCATTCATTTATTCCACTGAGCTATTTCCCTGGCCTCTGCAAACTTTTTTTTTTAGAATTCATCTTATTTTCCAATAATTCCTATTTTTCTTCTAAAATTTATCACTTTTTTGTGTTTCTCACATTGTCTGCTTTATCAAAATGAATACAGATTGTTGGAGATGAACAAATAATTCTTAGCCATGTTCAGTTTACTAGCAGCTCCTCTTTTTTCACTTACACTTAAACTTTTACTTATTATAAAAGCTTACCTGTATTTATTTGAGAGTTAGCAGGAAAGTTATTCTTTCTGTGTACAGATGGGAAAACTGATGTGAGATGTTATATAAATTTCCTAAGTCAGTTAACAAGTGCCCAGAATTCATAGAAATTTTGAAGCAGAAAAGAAACACCACACACACGGAAAAACTTATTTTGAGAATATTAGTTTTCATCTTAGCAAAGTGATTTTTCTGAAGTCACCAAACTCATTACCTCATAGGCTAATGCTCAGGGTGTGTAACTCCCAAGATAAAAAGCTGTATGTTATGGTACAGTTACAGTGCTTTTTTCTTTCAGTTATTTAAATTTGGGTTGGAGATATAAGATAAGCATATGATGCAGTTGCCACAGTACTCAAATTGGTCATGTTGGTAAGGTTCAGTCATACATGTATTGCATTTTGAAAAGTGATTTAAAAATTAAGTTGAGGCTAAAGATAATTTAAGGAATCACAGTTTAGTATCTTTTCCCATTTCCGTTATTATTTTGTAAAGTCATTTAAAGGAAAAAGTATTTTTTAAAATTTTGACTTATATGTATAACAGATTTTTTTAATAAGTAGATTCAGAAATTGATTCTTAAAAGCTGAGCATGGTGGTACATTTCTGTAATCCCATTTTACTGGTAGACTGAGACAGGAAGATCTCAAGTTTGGGTCAGCTTAGGAAACTTAGATATATATTGTGCACGTACTGTTTTAGCCTTTGCGGAAATTTTTTTATGAAACATGTTTTGACTGAGTTATTTGTTGAATAAAATTATTAGTGTTTTAGTGCTTCATTTAATTTTTCTTATGTAATGGCACATGGGGTGGTACATTGAGCTGAATATGTTGAGTTCAGGACTTATCTTGGATGCTTGTGTTTAAGGCTGTTGAACTTGTTTTATGCTGAGTCCTTAAAGAAATGAGAAAAAATTTGTTATAATTTCATAATAGCAGTGGAAAAAACTGGAGAATAAAACAGGCCCAGAAAAAAAAGGTTCTAGGCAGGATTTTTGAAGGCTTTTAAATAAAGTTTGAAGTTATGGTTAATATGGTAAGAGTCATTGATGCTAAAATCTGAAGTATTGTAATACTGTTACCCCTCAGAAGAGCAAGCATTGTAAATAACATCATGAGATCATATTGCTCAGTCTTTGTTGTCAACATTAGGTAGGTTTTCCTTTTTCTTTAATAGATGCTATTATTTACTGTATTAAGTTCCATATAATTTCAAAAATATAAAGTGTTTGTCTATATTTGTCTTTACTGTGAAATCTCATAATTGGGTACTAGATTTAAGGATGATTTCATATTTTTAAGAAGCCTCTACCTAAAACAAGTTTTTTTGCAGTGTAAAGATCGTACTGAGGGCCCGGGGAGATGGCTCAGTAGAACAAGCACTTGCCTGGCAAGCGCAAGGGCCTAAGTTCAATCCCCAGTTCCGCAAAAAAAAAAAAAAAAGATTGTACTGTGTGGGCCAGGGAGATGGCTCAGTGGAATGAGCACTTGCCTGGCAAGGGCAAGCAAGGGTCTCAGTTCAGTCTCCAGTTCTGCCCCCCCAAAAAAAGATAAGATCGCACTGTGAAATAGAGAAGTCTATTTATGAAGGTAAAAACATTCGCAGTGTTTAAAGTCTTAATAATAAAGCTAGATGTTTGTTGTGCACACTCCCCGCCCCTTTCCCCCCAAAAGAAAAAAATGAATGATACTGTGAGACCAAAGTAA